GTCCTCTGCTTGTACTGGCCCGGGAGCGAGGCGGCGGGGGCGCCCGCGCCCGCCGTCGCCGACTCCTCCGGTTGGCGAGCCGACTGCAGCGTGTCCCAGCCGGCGTTTGCTTTCGAGGAGACGAAAGCGCACGATGAATACCGCGCCCGGGCTCTCGTGAAAGGAAGAGCGACCGCTCACCTGGCTGGGCCTCGGAGCTGGGAATGTAGGAGGAGGAGGGAACCATGCTGGGCGTGGCCGGCAGGTAGCTGGTGGACGGGAGCGGGTTCTCGTTCAGCGCCCCGAGTTTCTGTCACGGAGGCAGAGGAATGCTTATGCTGTGCACGTCATCAGTTATGTACATAAACATAAGTTATGTTCAAGGGCAGAATTAACTTGGCACATTCAAATTCAAATGGAAAAACGTGACTCGGCTTTATCTGCTGCGCAATCTGTGCCATTGCCGGGCCATTAAATGACAATTTTTTTAGGTCGATTTTCAATTAAAAACTATTTTAGATGAACTCATTCACTGCCAACCCAGTAAAAACGCATCATTCAAGAGCCGTCAATAGTAGTGAATGGGCTCATTTTTGATAAACAATATTTCCCCTTTTTTTTTTTTAAAGACTTCAATGGCACTGCTGGGCTCTTCAGTGACTCGATGACAGGGGTGGTCAACCTGCGGCTCACGAGCCGCATGCGGCTCTTGGGCTGGTTCAATGCGGCTCCCGGGCTTTCACACGACAAGCATTGAAAACGCCTCGGCGGTGACAATACCATTCAAACAACGGTGCTTAATACACAGAACGTACTACGTCAGCCTATCATCAATCCCATTACTTGATTGACATAGAGGGAAACCAATCAGATGACTGAATCACCGCTCATGCGCAAACAAGGGCGCTAAGCACTAAGCTAGTCAGCATATTTGATGTCAAGGCAGGGGTGCTCAATACGACGATCACAATCGACCGGGAGCCAGACTTTGATTGAGCTTTTTTAAAAATTAGAAGAGCAGCAGAGATGCCTGCGGGCAAGCCACGGTGCTTAGTTTTCAAACATGTTGAGCGGTACGGTTGAGTCCATGCGCAAAAGAAATCCCCAAATCGATACAGGGTACGTTTGTATCTTTTGGTGTGTACTGAAAAGGACAAACAACACGATTGTCTCGATTGAAGCACCTGTGCAGAGACGAGGCCTGCAGCATAGTCCGGTGTGGTGTTCTCCACCACCGCTTCTTCTTTGGCTGCTTTCTCATCCGCCTCTGTGTCTACAAAAACAAGTACAAGACGACCACAGATTCAAGTCTCGCAACACTTTCCGGGCAAGCCCACGTCGTTCGACGGTGGGGTGCGAGCTAGCGAAATGCAGTTGGTTACCCAGAGTTTTTCTTCGCCTTTTGGCCTCTCTTCCGGCCCCGACCATGTTCAGCTCTTTGATATCCAGCAACTGCACAAGAAGGAACAAGCAGCATGGAATTCCGAGCTTGTCACTCTTGCCGGGAATGAGACGACGCTTTCAACTACGGAACTCGTCCTGACATATCGACTTGACTTGATCGAATCGCTTGCGTGTGTGCGCATCGACGCCGGTGCCGTACCTTGACGCCACGCTCTTTGCGCAGGGGTGTGCGCGCCGGGGCAATGGGCGTTCGGTTGCTTGGGGGGCTGAACATGCTTGGAGCTGTGGGGCTGCGAAACGGCGCCTTGGGAATCCCCTTGAGGGGGGCTAAAATGGAAAAAGGATAAGACTCATAAAGGTAACCACTTCCCCAAGTTGCGGCCATGGCTGGAAATTGACTTGTCACAGAGAGGGAAGCAGGCTAGGTTTTTGCACAACGTGCCAACGAGGAAGTGAGCAACCAAATTCGCAACAGGCGTTTGACCCGCAGCAACCCGAAGCCCAACGGTCGCGAACTTTTGATGAGCGCTGTCGTAGAGCGTGGCACTTACTGGTAGTGTCGATCTTTTTGACTAAACCTCTCCCTTTGGCATGAAAAGGCACTCCGGCAGTCTTCTTCAGCTGCTGTGCAGTCTCGGTGGCTAGAGCACAAAACCAGTCCGTTTAGCCGCCCTGCGCCACGGCGGTTGAGCGAGCAAAAAGAAAAGGCCTCACATTTCTGCAGCAGCTCGGCTCTCAGCGTGGCACTCTTGGGCTTCCTCTTCAGCTGGAAATGTTTAACGGGGGGAGTGAGGGGTCCCACCAGTGTGGTCAACGCGCTCTTGTTTAGGTACTGGCACTCCAAAGGAAGCATGGCAGACGCCTCGCACTCCCCAACTATGCGGGCATGCCCAGGGAAAGAGATTCAACCATATTTAAAAATACATAAATAAATAAAAATCTCCTCTGGCACCAACATTCAAACGGCTGACCTTTCTCCCTGAGCTCGCCGAGGATGTCCTGCACGTTTGGATTCTGCTCCTCCAAGTCCAGATTGAGGGAGCCCGTCTCCGGGAAGGACTTGAGGATGTCTGCGACCATTAGCACCCACGGCTCAGAGTCCACCGTGGCCAGCTGGATTATCTCGGAGAGGGCTTCCTTCATCTGGCAATCACAACAACTTTTCAGCGTGAATCAGCTTTTCAGACAGGAATCCTATTGACCCCCGTTTCTATTGGCAATATCACACGAAAATATTTGGCAAAAAGTATATTGTATACGAAATAGTGATGAGCCTATTTTGAAACGGGAGAAGAAAGTACAGATCAGCTTTCAAGTACAGCAAGTCAGGATAAAAAGTCGAACATACTTCCCAATACTGTGTTCAATTTTACACACGTTTTTGTCACATTTCTGCTTGGTAGCTTGGCGTGAGAATTTAGGGAATGGAAATGTGCGACCCGGCTCAATAAAGGTTGGGAAACGAGGGTGGTAGGACGGTACCGCCCCCTCAGTTGTATCTTTTCGCCCGTCGGTCACAACGTCTGAACGAGAACCGCAGACTTCGGCGATGAATGCCAACAACTGGTGGATTAGGTCATGTCAACGTTAATCTTGCAAGGTGGACCGGCTCAGTAAATTGGGAAACGCGTCGGGGTTTCTGTTTAATACCTCTCGTTATCACTCGTCATCGACTGTGTCGGGAGCTAGCGTGCTAATGCTAAAGTAGACGACTGGTGTTTTTGAGGTGCGGTGACTGATATACTACAGCGACGACGCGTTCGGAAGAAGGGAGTGAAAGTCAAGCAGCGCGTTCTTATTTTAAGACAACGTGGCCGTGGGTAAGTGAAAGCAAACGGCACAAAATGTTGTTGGAGGGCGCCCACCTCGTCCACGGTCCGTCGGGGGAGATGCAGCATCCCGAGAAGCAACTTGAGCTTGACGGGCGGCGACAAGCTTGAGAAGCACAGGCGTATGTTGTCGATAACGGACACAGTAAGGAGCGACGCGATGCTCGGTGGTGTCCACAGCTCGTCCGTGGAGCCCAGTTTGTTGTGAAGCCACAGGCCAGTGTCGCTGTCCTTCATTGACGCCATCTTGGAAAAAGAAGTGTTTTGAGTTCGGGCATTTTAATGGACTACTAAGAAAACGGCAGTCAGGACCCCGCCCACGTCTGTGTGAAGGCCATTGAACCACATTAAAGTATTTTAAAAGGAATTAATGTAATTATTATGACACAACGTCGCGGGGACCTTAACTTTATTTAATCAAATTCATTCCACACCGCAAAAATAAAAAGTAGAGATGATAAACTGAGGTGTGGTCTTTTTTTTAAAACATAACGAGTCGTGCGCAAGCGCAATACGTAGGAATTAAAAAAAAAACTTTATTTAACATGCCCCAAAAACCAAACAGGTACTCGCCCCAAAAACCAAACAGGTACTCGGTCGTTTCTACATTTGTTCTACTAAATAATATGTCTTAGTAATTACTTCATTTGAGAAATTAATAAACCAGACAGGTACACGGTCGTTTCTACATTTGTTCTACTAAATAATATGTCTTAGTAATTACTTCATTTGAGAAATCAATAAACCAAACAGGTACTCGGTCGTTTCTACATTTGTTCTACTGAATAATATGTCTTCGTAATTACTTCATTTGAGAAATGAATATTATTTCTGGTCTTAAAATCAGAGGTGGGCGGGGGGTGGGGGGGGGAAGTACGGATGCTTTCTTACCATATTAAAGGGGAAGTCAACCACCAAAATTTCTAAATACATCTAGGCAACCTCACTTGTCTAAACACGGAATTCTATTAATAATGCAAATGTCGAATTTGAGTTAAACAGTAGAATACACCCATTTTTGTCCATCTCGGGGGTGGCCATTTTGCCACTGCCTGGCCACTGAAAATAACATCACGGTTGCTCAGGGGTCAGGTAACAAACGATCATGGCTCAGCTTCAGAAAACAGGTGAACCGTGATTGATTGTTACCTGAGCAGCGATGGAAGAAAAAAAGTCAAATCCACAAGACACACAACTAACAGTTGAAGTTTAACGTGAGTTTGAAACCTACAACAAAGACAATTAAACATTTGCACATTATGTCTTGAAAGAAAAAACGTTCAACAAACGCAAATTATTTCATCAGACGAAAGTCAGCTCGCTTACATCTGACAATGGAAGACAGCATATAAATCTTCAACCTTATTCACACATAATTAACCTAATACAATGCTCATCATACAGAAATTGGTATTTCTCGCTAACATCACAGTCTATTAGTGGACATAACAAAGACTCAATAAATAATAGACATCAGATACCAGTGGCATCACCTGGCTTCTTCACTTTGGCACGCATCATTTCAGTAATCGTCCTCCTCCGTCTTTTCTGATTTCTGTTTGTACTAGGTACGCTACAGAATTTATCCAGATGATTAGCTCTTTAATCCTTTACTCAAGTTACATGTCATCGCTAACAAAGCCTTGTGACATCATTTTTTCATCACTTTAAACAACTTTCGACATTGATTAAATAACTATATATAACTTCTCTCGATGCAGCAGGATGTTTGAACCTTCAAATAAAACATTACTTTTAGATATTCAACTTGGTTTTTCAAAGTTCCAAAACATCACGCGGTTCGACCATATGAGCATGATTTTTGAATAGAAAACATATTTAAAATGAGCATGCCAATTTATTTTCTACCCTACCTGGCACACTTTCAATTGGATTTTACTTTTCTGTATGAAATTTCAAAGTGTTACTGTTTTTACTTTCATCATCATGTTCATGCAAAGTTTGTCCAATGATGCTCATTTTATGAAATATCATGTGGTGCGACCATTGAGAAATGGCTTTTATTTTGAAATACATTTCAAGACAAGAGGTTGTATCATCCACCAGACAGTCATGGACCTACTGTATAAGAAAAGTCAGCAGGTTTGTGCTCTCGTGGTTCTGTAAAAGGTAGCGACTGGTAGGTAGTAGTCAGATATAAACATCATGTAATATGACCAGGAAAAAAAGACAATTTTTCCCAACAAAGTTTTTCACTTACAGTGTGTAACAATCTAGTTTAAATGGTTAATTGTTCGCATCTTTGATTTAAATTGAAATTATCATGCTATGTCCATCATCTGGTGCAACCATTGCAGAAACCTTTCCATGATAGATGTATGTACTAAATTGGCTATTTTTTTGGTAATAATAAATCAACTGCTGGGTCGACGATGTTGAAAAAACGTTTGGCCCGTATCAGGGGTGTTTTTCGTTTCTGCATCGACGGCGTTTACACATCGGATACTCTCCAGTTTCTATTTGAAGGGAGGTCGTACGGTTTTGCCCTCAAAGAACATGGCGAGCCGTGCGCATGCGCAACCTCTACATTAAAAAAAAAAAAAAAAAAACATCTCCACGGGCATCTCGCGGTGACCTGGTGTTCCGAATAACATACCGTGGACAGATTCAGGGTAGGTAAACGGAATACAACGCAATGTTGCCTCCGTGCGAATAATAACCGAAAGCCACGCGCCTAGGTGTTGGATGATGGCATCCGGAGGTATGATGCAGGCAGCGATGCTCCTGCTGGCGGCCCAGCTCGTCCTGTGCCGCGGTGGTGCTGCGGATGTGGACCGGGAGACCGGGACGGTCATCCCCGCGGAAAGTACGTGCTCTTATTTCAGTCTCAATGGGAACACAGTTCCGATGAATCATCTACAGGGGAGGGAGTTCTCGGTGTACGACGGAGACATTAACACGATTTTTTTTTTTTGTGACATAGCGTAAGTCGGACCGCGTCGTCGTATATATCACTAATATACGTCTTATTGATTGTGTGAAGGCTAGGCCCTTCATACATGTCATTTGGGTTAAATATTTGAATGGAAAATGATTTTCTGTCATGGAAAAAAAGATGGTACGGGAGTAACTGAGCGTACCTGCATTTGCATTGCAGTGACGTAATTTTAGCTGTCACTCCCTATGACATTGAAGTAGAAAAGTTATCATTACAGTAAACATCTGTACGAAAAACACTTCTTGGTCGTAATTATAAAACGATCAAATGGGAAAAGTACAAAGGCGGTAACGGAGTGTACTGTTTTACGCCGTGTGACCACTAAATCTTACGATACGCCATGTCGTCTGTTACTAACCTATGCTAGCGTAGTAGTTAAGTTATAATTTCAGTAAATACTTGTATGAGAAACACCTCTAGGGCGTTGATGAGCTTCAAGGGTCTCACGTAACGTCGTAAAGTATCCCCTAGAAAGATATGGCAGAGAGTTCGCCTGTGAATATTCAGGATGAGCTAAAGATAGGAATAATAAAGCAAAGCTGTCTCTTTTTCCAGGTCGCCCGTGCGTCGACTGCCATGCGTTTGAGTTCATGCAGAGGGCCCTGCAGGACCTAAAAAAGACCGCTTTCAACCTAGACGCCAGGGTACAGAGGACCATTTTGATTCATCGCCTCAAAATACGACTTAAGAATCTTCTGTATTTGTCTTAAGGTGTCTTTAGTTTTAAGGTGGCGTACTGGTGAGCAGAGGTAGCAAAAGTACTTTGGGCAGAGTGGTGAAAGTAGACGTATTGATTCAAATTCTGTAAAAGTAGACGGATTTATTCAAATTCTGTGAATCACCTGGCCTGGTCCCACCTTTGAAAGGTACACACCCTACTACAGTAATATGTAGAATGCAAGAATGGTGACCACAGCTGGGCAAAAATTGAAAATGCACCTGCCCATTCTTAATTGATACTGTTATTTAACAACAACAAATCAATACACTTTATCCCGTTCGGTAGAATACCTGCTTTTAAATATATTCGATAGCTGTAGCCCGACAACAGTTTATATACAACCACTGTTGTGATAACTGATCACATGACATACCACGTTATTAACAGCTATAGCTAGCGTTTGCTTGCTTTTTACGCCATCCAAACAACTTGCTGCTATGGATTTGCTCTGTATGTGTGTGGTGTTTTTATGGCGCAGACGGAGACGCTGGTGCTGAGGGCGGAGAGGAGGGCTCTTTGCGACTGCATGCCCAGCTCGCTGCGTTGAAACCTCACAACACGGACGACTCTTCCAAAGTACTCATGTACAGCGATTTTTGACTCCCAACACAGTGGACACTTTAGCTTACGCTCTTCTCATGTTCGTAGACCAGTTTGCTTGGAAATGTTTTTTTTTTTTCAACACAAAACACGGAATTGAATGACATGTTTGTTTGTTTGTTTTGAGCAAGAAAACTTGAGAGAGAAGCCACTCGTATTTGTTGGGCTTTCCTTAGCACAGCACTGTAGCATGAATCCACAGCACCTTTTTGTAAACGTAGAGTGTATGTCTAGATTTGATGGTGATATAAGAAGTGATATGCCACTACTGTCGACCCACAACGTACTGTAAACATTCGCAGGCGGTACTTAAAGATTTTGGAATGGAGGCAAATGTGACAAGTGTGTGTTACTGTTACTGTTATATGTAGGCCGGTGTACAAATCGGGAAAACGTGAATATTTCGTGCTTGCGATGTTTCTGTGTGGCCAAATAAAACGTGTGTTCTTACTGTATTTTATTTGATTGTTTTATAGCCTATTCGTGGCCAAGAGGTGTTATTTCATCTAAATATTGACTGCAGTTAAACTTTACCGGCTAGCACAGGTTAGTGGGACTGCAGCTTGGTGCAAGAATATCTCGTCAACCATTCCTAATGTCACCTACTTCCTACTTTTCATCGCATTTAGTTCCATCTATAGCCACAAAATGTTTTTCTTTCAGACATTCACTGCAATTGCGACGAACGTTTCCGTGTAAGTTCGTGAAAACACGCTCAGTTTTCCTATTGCGAACGCTCAAGTCAAATTGCAATACCTCAAGTCAACCACTAAAAGGCGCCGGTGGACAAGGCAAGGAGGCGGCAGTGTCGCAGCGATGCGCCACTCTCCATCCGGGATGGTTTGCGAGAGCTTCTCAAGGCAAATGCTGGATCAATACAGGAATCAAGTGAAAACTCAAGCGCCACCCGCAGTGCCCTGAAGGCAATAACGTTGCACTCGTACCTGCGATTGTGATGATCGGCCCACCCTCGACACAGCCTTCGCTTGAACTTCTCCGTTTGCGTTCGATTCTCATGAAGAGCAACAATGTTCCTTGCGTCAATTTGACCCGGGGCCTCTGCAATCATCCAAAACAAACAAATCCCAATAAACCACGTATATGTCCGAATTAACCCAAGTACGAACTAAATCTTTTTTAAAGATGTGAAATTGAAGCAGTTTCACATGGGGTCAATTTGAGCCCGATTGCATCACGGGGTGGGGTCGGGGGTTCTCATCGGCCACACATTCAGGAGTATCTACGACTGCAAAGCACGTATAACAATCTTTACGTTTTTAGCAAATTAACAGTGTGCTAAAATGTAGGAAAATCACAAAAACTGCACTCAAATAATGATTCCGTTAAAGTGTGTTGCGCGTAAAATTATAATAAAATTGTACAGGCACAACCAGCTCTGAAAGATTAAATACAAAGGTATTGCACTTAAAAGTGAAATGGGGCCGAAACGTACGTAACAAATGGAACTTTGGCACCATGTTGGTGCCAAGGAATTATGTTGAAGTGAGTCGGAGCTCCATTTTGACAAAATCTGTGATTTGCCGCCATCTTCTGGTACAGATCCGAATATTATGTATTAACAGTATTTCCAGGTATAAATACGGTACCTGTAGATTTTTAAAAATCCGAATTTAGTTTCTCTGTGAGTGCAGGATGGCAAAAGACACAATAAGCACGGCAACCGTTTTGAACATCTGTTCAAGCAGAAGGACCACAACATACCACAATGTCAGAAGAGAGAGCCAGCAGAGTCACAGGGGGGGGGTGCTGCAAGATGAGTCAAAGGTCACATTCCTGGTTGTGAGAAAACCACGTGTGGAATGGTTGCATTTGGGGTTGTGGTTCAAATTAATCACACCTAAATTAGATTTATTGGAGACTCTATAAATTGTCTACGGCGTGGATGTCTTTTAGTCTGTGTGCCATACAATAGCTGCTGACCAGTCCAGTCCAAGCGATTTGTCCACGAGGAGGCAGCACTGGTTAGAATAAGCAGGGCTGCGACTCCGGTGGGGAAACTAGTTTTGCATTGCAATGTGTGTGGAATTTACTCCGCTTGATAATGGTGAGAGGTTATGGTGTGTGTGCGAAATGGGAGGGGGCGTCACTGTTACGTACCTGCGGCTTTTGGGGGGCAGAGGCGTAGGGGTGTGGATTCACTGCAGTGCACCAGTGATTTGACGGTAGAGGATGCGCAACCGGGAACCACCTGAGGGCATCAAAGCTCCTCCTATGTGTGATAAGTGTGCGTGTGTGTGTGTGTATATTATATATGCATGTGTGTGTGTGTGTGTGTGTGTGTTTGAAAACAGCTTTGGGTTTGAACGGTTCAAAAGCCAAAGTTCCGTTTGACGCATCGTCACGGCTGTAGATTTTGCAGCAGCGCCACCCCTCCCTTCATATCGACCCAAATCCGCACACATCGGCTGTGGTACGGATGCGATCCAAGAGCGAGAGGGGACCCGCGTGTCTCTCCTCCTCCATCAGCATCTCACGGCTTCCACCAATGGCGGCGACGAGCGGAGCTCCATCCACACGCCCTGCCCCGCCTATAAATACAGCTGGTGGCAAAGCGGCGAGTCTTGGTCGCCAGAATTGCAGCGGAACCCCCCCTCGCTCCTCCTCCTTCGTCTTCTTCCCATCCATCGTCTCTCCTTTTCATTTTTGCTTTCCGATTCATTTTGGAAGGAAAGGCTGCGCCGTACGCGTTGGGGGCTGGGGAGGGGGGGTCTACTCGGCGGCCACTTGCATGCATTGTTCGTCTCCCAAAATGGTTTGCGAGACTAAAATAGTGGCGGACGAACACGATGCTATACCCGGGAGCAAAAAGGAGCCCATGATGTGGAGCGCCGCCTCGTCCGCGTCCGGCGAGGCCAAGGAAGCGAGGCGGGATGCGGTGTTCATCCGCGAGTTCGAGCGCGGCGACCAAGAGGAGGTGCGGCGCATCTTTTACGAAGGCATCATGGAGAGGATCCCCAACACGGCGTTTCGGGGGCTCGCCCAGCAACCCCAAGCGCAGTTTTGGTACGCGCTTCTCACAGGTATGTCAAGCCCCC